ACACGCTTTTCGAAGCCCCACTCGGAATGAGCACGTCGAAGGCCGACTCATAAACACAAATGACGATACCCTCAGTGATGAGATCGCCGTTGACCTCCTGTCGCTTCTTGTCCATATCGCGGCAAGACTCAATGTGAATGCTCTGCTCCTGAGCGTTCTGCGCCGAGTCCTTTTTGGTGTTGCATGACTCGATGGTCTTGACAAGATTCTCAAGATCTTCAGTGTACTCAATCTTGCCCTCAGACAGGACAGCCTCAAGCTGGCGGTGAACAATGACATCGGCGTAGCGACGAGTGGGGCAGGTAAAGTGAGTGTAAAGGGGCGTGTTAAGAGCGTAGTGCGGCCACAGCTGCTTGTTCGTCTTGCCAGCAATGAAGTACTTGGCGCGCTGCATCGACTTGGAGACAAGTGTCTCCATACCCTTGCGAATGTCTTGGTCATCGACCTTGAACAGGCTGTTTTGCAGGGCACCGCTGCTGGACACATCAACGTCATACTTCAGAGCGTTCATGCGGTCAGAGAAAGTCTGTAGACGGCGAGGGTTGGGGGCAGCCTGGCGACGAAGAAGGGCCTTCTCGGGCAGACCCTGGGCGATGCGCTGAGCGACGTAGGTGTTGGCCTTGTGCATGAGCTCCTCGACGAGCTCGGTGGCAGCGGATGAATCGAAAATGTTGTGCTTGATGGGGATGTTCTCGTCATCGAGCTGCTGGAGCAGGCGGAGTGGGGCGATGGGCTCGCCGCCGGCACCGAGACGGGCCTCACGGAATTTCTCGGCGACAGCATTGAGGATTTGCACATCCTTGAGCTGGACAGACTCGTGGGTCCAGTCAGCTTGGCCGCCAAGGGCCGCGTCAATCTCCTGGACGGAGATCTTGCCAGTGCTCTTGATGATACTCTTGCCAACCCAGGTGTCACCTTCAGCGACAGATCCATTGTGCGGGTTGACACGGAAGAGGACACTGACGGCCAGGCGCTCCTCACCAGGCGCAAGGGAGCACACCTCTCCACTGATCTTAGGAGGGAGCAGGGCGCAAGTGCGGTTGACCAAGTGCACAGCAGTGCCGCGCTTCTTAGCCTCGCGGTCGACGAGAGAGTTAGCCTTGACGAAGTGGGTGACGTCGGGCACGTGGACGGCAATGTCAATCTTGCCATCAGGCTGGGTCTTGATGTGAATGGCATTGCCAAGCTCGACAGAGCCGTCAAGATCGAGCGTGATGACCTTCTCGTCGCGGAAGTCACGACGCTCGGTAAGGGCAGCCTCTTCCTCCTTCTCGAGGGACCAGTCCTGCAGGCCGATGCTGCGCAGAACAGCCTCAGAGAATTCGTCAGACGCAAAGTTGTTGTCGCGAAGAAGAGCATCCGTCTCGACCTTCAGGTCACCCATGCGGCCGAGCTGCTCGACGAGAGTACCGAAGGGGTGCAGAGAGGTGATGGGCCAGCGCTTTATGCAAGCCACAAAGATCCTATCGGCATAATCCTGGTGCTTCTCGACAAAGTCGCGTGGGGCTTGCTCGGTAGGAATGGCAATGAGAGGAGAAT